ATATTATATAGATTACAAAAATCAGTTACACAATCCAAGGCAAAAGCAGTTTGTGTAATGAATCTTACTGGTCATTAGAATTTGATCAGCAATATTTTTTATTATCGGGAGGATTTATGTCAAATTATTTATTCTAAATCTATATTTTTTGCCCTCAATGGAGGCAATTGTGAGAATATTGTTATTTCTGGCAATTATATATATATTTTGTAAGTTTTGTGACACATGAGGGATGCCCCCATGGCTTAGACATCAGGGCGCCAGTGACCGTGGAGTCCTCAGTATGTGTCTAACTAGGGACCTTTGTCATCTCTCCACTGGGGATGTTGGATGTTGTAGGAACATTGCAAAGCAAACATTAAAGGACCACATAATGAAGATTAAAATAGGACAAACAAGTTGGATAAAGGTGTTGCTATAATTTACAGGGGTACAACTATTCTATTTCTATCCTGAAAGATTGAAAAGATAACAGTGATTTGTTAAAATGATAGGTGAGGACAAATGTTTGCTTCCTGCGCCCATGTCTCTTATATCTGTTTACATTTAAACTACTATGCTCTGTTGTGGTAAGCAAGAGCAACTGTTTAAGTACAATGAAAGAATGTCTGAGTGTCACTGCTCCTTACGAATGGCAGAAGATTACTAGGCTCAGTGTGAGAGAGATAAAGAAATAGAGGCCAAAGTGAAGCCTGTGTTAATGTACAGATTAATGCTAGCCTTTTCGCCTTTTGCTTTAGTCCTAAAGAAAATTAGATCTGAGCACAAGCCTGCCACTGAGGGCCTCTGTGTGGAGCCCCACAGGAAAAAGCAGGGAGCTTCAGAAGAACAGGGACTACACTGGGAGACGCTGGTGAATCTCTGAGGCCCAGCTCTACATCTGAAAGAGGCCACAAGATGCTTCTCAAAGAACAGAGGAGACCAAGGGTGTAACAGCAACAACATTAAACAGTTGCACCAACCGAGTGTCCCGTGCCATTGTCTACATTTTTCTACATCTTTGCCTTACTGAGAATTACCTTGGATGAAATGCACATAACTTCCACATGCAGGATTGTATTTGAGCATGTGGTAATGCTTTTAAAAAATCTGCATGTAGCTATGAGTTTCTGTACTGGCTCATGCGATCGCCCTTTCTGTTTCACTTTTAGATAACCTGTGTGCACAAATACAGCAATCATACCAAGTGGCTTATAAAAACTGAACCAAAATCAACATTTTTATTGCATTCCCCATATTGCAAAATGTTAATTTGGCCTGTAAGTAATCCCACCTCCAATCAAATTTGAACTCAGCCTCTCTTAATGAATGGTGCAGGAGCAGAGCTTTCCAAATGAACACTGCATGGATCAGAGGACGGAGCTGTAACTCCACTGGCTGCTTGAGGAGAGCAATTATAAAACCAGGAACACCGTCGTAATCACTTAACTCAACGCATCCCAAATACTCTCCCTCGCCGTGTCCCCTGAGGGCCCATCAACCACCTTGACTTCTAATCTCAGACATCAGTACTTCCACCATAATGAAAAGGGAACTGCAGCAATGTGGAGTTTTAGGAACTCAAGTAGAATTAAGCAGGAAAAATGATCAGTTCTATGTGTGACACAGAAATCACAAATATATAGGGACACTGGTTTGAGTCATCACACAAGTATAGTGATTAAGTCATTCTCCTATGTAAAGGGATTGCGGACACCCTGTCTCTCCATTTCCATTGTCTGCCAACAGGCCCACCACAGTTTCTCTCGCGGCTCCGTAAAGCTGCTGACCAGTGTGTGAGAACAGATCCTGCAATTGCACTGGCACGCACACACACACACACACACACACACACACACACACACACACACACACACACACACACATTCACACACACTTATGCAGACACGCATGATTGGTGATTACTCATTCATACTGTCTATTTGAGGGGAAGCAGCCTATCTCTTGCCAGCAAAGCGAGCAACAGAGAAAAAAAGTGTGTGTGTGATCCGTGTGTGTGTGTGTGTGTGTGTGTGTGTGTGTGTGTGTTCCGTGCTTTTTTCCCCCCTTATACGGCAGGAGGCACTGCGCTGTCCACGGTGCTGAAACTGACTGTACGGCCAGAATTGGGGGATTTGGGGCTGTGGGGAAGGGGGGGTTACATGCAGTTAGCTACATTAATCATACACGCACGAGCACAGGCGCGCGCTCAAGCACGCAGCGAGTTGTGGTACGCACTTTTCAGCATGTGCCAGTGAGTGGCAGAGCAGATGACATATCTCCCCGGCTTCATTGATAAGAGGTGTTCTGCTGCTGATGATGATGATGAGGAGGAGGAGGAGGAGGAGGAGGAGGATGGTGGGGATGGAGTCAGCAGCAGCAGCAGCAGGAGCCTATAGGCTTGGCTGTACGAGGGGTGCGCTCTCAAGCAGGCGAGATGACAGAATGCTGAGCCTCCACTCCCTGCTTCTTGGAAGGGAGGACATCCATTTCACTGCACCGGCTCCAACACATTTACCCCACACTTTACAGTGACTTAAATCGGTCCCCACAGTGGTCACTTACACAGTCACGCATCAGCCTGCAGGATAGGGGAGCGCACACATGCAGCACAGTTTGTGGCCCTCACCATCATCATCACCACCATCCTCCTCCTCACTCCAACCACAATCATGCATGAACACCATCAGCCTGGTGCAAAGGAACGGATCAGAATATTACCTTTCATCCAGTCCAGAACTTGCTTTGGTGTCCATTTACTTATAGGTTCCATAACCAAAGCCATGGTGTCACAGTCTCTCCGAGGTGAACGGCGCAGGACTCAATGCGGGCGACATACAACGACCTGTCAGTCACATCTGGAATGACACGGCGGTGGACACATCTGTAGGAACAGAGAAGCTCGTCAGTTTTGTTCTGTCCATCGGAGCATGGCCGCCTGCAGAAACGGTGAACGGGATGCGGTGGTGCAATCCACGCGCACACACAGAGACACGCGCGCACACAGCACACGCTCTCTCTTCCCTCCCTCGTCTCTCTCTCTCTCTCCTCCTCTCTCTCTCTCGTGCCTTCCCGCCAGCAGCTCGCGCTCTGTGAGAAGTGGATACGGTGGGCGCGAGGGGATGGAGCGACCCCTCCCCTCTCCTCTTCTTCCTCCCGCCCGCCTCGCTGCAGCATCACAAGGGCCACCACTCATAATACGGACCAGGGAATGGTGCAACGCACACCATATAGGGAGGATCTCTCTGTCCCTCTTTCTCTATCCCTCCAAGTCCCCCTCACACATGCACATACATACAGAAAGAGTAAGGTATTGTGAAGACGCAATATATTTCAAAACTGCAGTATGGACACACTATAGCATTATTATTACTATTATTTCCATAAATTATTTGGAATGTGCTGCACTTATAGTGACACGTCCACGCGTGTGCAGGTCGTGCTAAATCCCACAGCAAGACAAGGTTCATATGCACGGATGAGAAAATCAGCATCAGTTGTCAGGCGCTCCTGTGGCATGCACGCTGCTCAGCTGTGAGGAACAGCGCCCCCTGCTGCGTACCTGGGACACAGGTGACGTCATGGATTAAAGAAGATACCCCCCACCCACCCCCTAACACACACACACACTCTACCGTACAGACAAATATGGAGGCTCAATGGCACAGTGATTCGGGTCACACAAATACATTGCATATTTTCATTTTTACTTTTTAATAATATTTTCCACCATAGATAATTTCTAATGAAATATAAGGGAAGACAGTGGATGCAATGGAAACATGCCAAATCAATAACACACACACACATACACACACACATACACACACACACCTTCATACACACAACGAACAAATGAAACACAGGGATTAGGATGAACAGTCTTTACTGCTGTTGTGCATATTTGCTCATATAAAGCATTAAAGTTCAGGGAGACAGTCTGAATAACAAGTCATCATCTTCATCATCATCATCATCACATGTCACTACAAAGTAATAATAAGTTGAGTGGTCATACTAGTGAATATGGCAGTCTGAGGATGTGCTAACATTATTGGCATAGGGTCAGACTTTCTGGTTTAAAGAATAAAGCATTCCAATAATGCATCAGGCTGGAATAAGAGAGTACCACATGTAATCTTAATTAATGAAAGAAATAGAACAAATGTTATCTAAATAATATTAATCAATCAAACTTATTTTGGTCTATTTGAATAACTATATAAATGCAGTGATGGCAGTTTTACGAGATACACATTTATTTATGAGTGCATTTTAACCTTTACTAAACTTCTGCCTTTGGCAATAAAAAAATCAATCATGTGCAACTTTTTCCTGTCAAAGTCTAACAATCCATCAATAACTAGAAAAGGCTACAAATTGAATCCCACCACCTGCAGTGTGTTTAAACAGTGATCCATGCTGGTGGTGTGGAGTCACATAGTCCATGTAAACGTCTCCTGTTTGCAGCAGCAGCAGCAGCAGCAGCAGCAGCAGCAGCGGGCTCACTCACACATCCAGCCACAGGAAACAGTGACCTCCTCCTCCTCCGGCAGCCCGCTGAACAAAGTCAATGGTGGGCGGGACCGCGCTGCTCAGTTTTCAGCCCTTTCCGAATGTCACAGCCGTGATCTCGAGCTCCCATTGGCTCCTGTCTGCGCTCACGTCACAATCATGATTAGAATTGATGATCGGACGTTCTGATTTCATTGTCTCGCAAAGGGGACTGGTGGAGAAATCTGCTGAATTTGAACGTGCCGTCTGATTTTTTGACATCACAAATGGTAAGCGCCGGGACGTGATTTCACTTCGGGCTCCGGGTCATCGCGAGTCGCTACGCGCTCGCCTGCGCCGGAAAGCCCGGGTCATCGAGAACGACCACGGCGGGGTCGAGAAATCACAGATTTGAAGGAAAAGTTTAGCCGCGGCTATCCAGTGGGAGAGCTAGGCTAATGGTGGCTAACGCTGGCTCGGCTCAGATATGGCCGCTCGGGCCTGTAAGCTAACGTGAGCTGTGTGTCTGCGCGCGTGTGGCCATTGTGGTGATGCGGCGCGTCCCCGGTTTGTTTACTGTCTGGCTGTGAGTCGTGAAGTTGTGGCATGTGCTTCCTGTGTGCTGGTTGTGTTTGTGAGTCACCGGGCTGTTTGCTAACCCGACGGACTCACTGTGTGTTGGCTAATTCTCCGTGATGTTATTGACTGTGGCCATGCGCAGACAGCCTGCCAAAATAAAGCTGCTGCTGCTGCTGGCCACACAACATTCCCCTGTTTGTCTCTGTGTTTTCTAAACTACTGTGTTTTTATCAGCTCTATGTTAGTCCTCATCACTTTAACCGAGCATGTCACTTCGCTTTATTTTCTCCTACCAACATAACACAGCTTTGACACGAAACCCACTCATAACACAGTAACTACAGATTCCTCTTTGTTTAGTGCATTCAAAGTGAGTTAAATCCGAGCATCACAATTGATTGTTTACACCCACTTTATTTTGAAAGGCTATTTTAACAAGATTGTGTTAGAATTAAATCAGTTTTAAACAAGCGTTTTATCCCGTTAATAACATGTATTATAATTTCCAGACTTTGTTGCTGATGCAAACAATCCATGTTTTGTTTGTGCTAAAAAAAAGTCGGATACAACACATTCTTTTAAAACGTTATCAGCTGATAATAGTGCTGAGCGAAATTATATCAAGATGTTATCAGGCGATATTCATATTAACATTTTATTAATATTTGTATCCTGTTTGAATGTTGTGGTTTTAAACTCTTTATAGACAGAGAATGAAAAATCATTATATCAATACATATTTGACTTTGATACTGTTATTACTACAATACAATAGAGAAATAAATCAATGGAGCAACGTTTAGTTTGGCACAACATATCAGCTTGATTGATGTTATTTATTCTAACACTGCAGCTTTGTCCCTGCCTATTATACTTTGACTGACAGCGTGTCCAGTTGTTGTTCCCTATTGTTCGATGTAACTATGTGTTGGCTGGTTCTTTATAATGAGAGGAAACTGATCGTGTTGCTCATAATGAGGCGGCCTTGTTTGATGGATTGGTTGTCACTCCTTTGTAACTTAGTGTCTTGCTGTGCTTCCTCCCCAGCCATACTACCCAGAAGTGTGCCAGGTACACTGAGACAGGATGACAGCAATCAGATATGTGCCAACCTAGAAACATGGAGGTTCTGCTGTGACCTGCATGGCTGCCCCGTTCCCCTCCAGTAGCACAATGGATGCGTGGCCACAGAGACGTGGCCTGCAGACTGTGAGTAGCCTGTATCACACATTGCATTTCAGTATAAGAGAGAAAAAACGGTTCACAGGATTTTACTATTACTTAAATAATGTTAATCATACTTATATCAGTCTTACAATATTTATGGATTTTAAACATTTGTAATCTTGAGACTGTGACATTTTGGTTGATGAAGTTATATAATAGTTGGTGCATATGCTAAATCTATTCACATTTGAAAAAAATAGTGTGATTTTTTGGGGAATTAAACAGAGTACGAAACCCATCATAATTTACTGCATTCACTGACAAAAGTAAATTGTACAAGTGTTGTGAAGTTCTAAACTTCAAGACGCTAATCTGAGAGTGAGCTGTAAGTTTTATTTGCTCTTCATGTGGTTGTCTCTCAGATGAACCTGCGGTCAGTATTCACACCTGAACAGCAGAGGATCCTGGAACGTTACTATGAGAGTGGGATGACCAATCAGAGCAAGGCTTGCTTCCAGCTAATACTCCAATGTGCTCAGGAGGCCAAACTGGACTTCAGCGTGGTTCGGGTAGGCCCATAAAATGTGCTCATGTGTTAAATGGGGGGTAGCACCTTTCAGAATGATTTGTGTTGCACTTTTGTGCTTTGTTTTTTTTAATAAGGGATGCCTGTGTATTACTGTGGCAAGTAATTAAGGTCATGAGTCAGTGAGTTCTTTAGTCCAGAGGCATAACTTTTTCTGACTTTGCAGAATTTGTCCCTGCGGTGTTTTGTATAGTGTTTTTAATGGATGTTACTGAGATGATTGCTCTTCTCCCTGCAGACATGGGTTGGCAACAAAAGACGTAAGATTGCCTCCAAGGTAGACCAGAATGGAGGCATGTCTCATTCCTTATCCAGTCATGGCCTCGCTGGGGGGCTACTCTCCAATCACACACTAGCCGGAGGTGCACTGTCCAATCATAGCATGGCAGCAGGGGCGCTGCTTCCTGCTGAGATGGCTGTAGCAAGGAACATCCAGAATCGTATGCACCTTCTTCCTCCATCGTCATCCTTCCCTACTTTCTCGTCAGCATCTTCCTCTCCCTCCTCGTCCTCTCCTCTCAGCAGCGGCAGCAACAACAACAACAACAACAATGACGTCATACTGACTGGGATCTACTCTCTGAACTCCGTCCCACGCTCCCGACCAAGACCCACAGCCCCCCCCAGTCAGTCAGACCCTGAGCTTTCTGCGCACACATCCTCATCTCTGATCAACCAGGTCCTGCAGAGCAGGAACAGCTCCACCTCCTCACCCCTCCACTCCAAGCTGATGTCCCTCTCTCAGAATCTCCCATCCCTCACTTCTGCTTCAGGGCCTTTAGTCTACACTGCCGTCAGGAAGGGAACTTCATCCCTCGGGGAAGCAGGGGTGAGTGCAGGAGTAGTACCTCACAGCTGGACTAGGCAGTACGGTACAGCACAAACGCGCCCTTGGTCTTCTTCCTCGCAATCCCAAGCTCAGCTTCAACCCAGACCTCACTCCAACCCCCAGCCTCAACCCCCTGCACCACAGAAGACACAGGTTTCCATCCCAGTCAAAAACTCTGCTCCTCCCCCTGAACAGACACCTCGTATTCAGCAGGTCTACACCATGTCAGAAAAAGTCGAGGGGGGCCGACTTAGATCTGGACCAGAGTGTACTCAGAGAGTACAGGAGAGTCATGGGTGTGTGCCTCACCCTCTGGATTCCTGTCATAACTTCTCCATCGCCATGGAGACTGGAGATGAAGCAGATGAGTGGCAAAGGGAGGAGGAATTGTCAAACATGGCCGCTCAGACACACATCCACAGGGAGCACACGTTAGGCAGCCCAATCAGGGCTGAAGTGTCTGTGGTGAGAGGAAGCGTCACACCTCCTATGACTAGCTCCAGACCCACACTGCTTCACAGTAACGCAACACTTCAGGGCAGCTATTCCGTCACAGCACAGACCTCATTTACAGGGGAATCCAGTTCACAGGTACGTTAGGTTCAAGTGCTGCTGTCGCTTTCCTTCTAAGTGAATTGAAAAACGTAACCTGAATGTGTCTGTCTCTGGGTGCAGACTTCAGTCAGTGTGTCTGCTGCCCCCTGGGTTATCAGCAACTCAAGAAAAAGAACAGTAAGTGCTTTTTTGGCAGCTGTAACAGAAGAATTTGAACATCTAATGTAGGGGGGAAAAGCATTAAACGTACTATAGTCATAACCGTCTCTCTGGTAGGTCATAAAGGTGTGCTCAGAGTTATGATAAACTTTGAGGCGGCATTATGGACGGTGTGCATATCATGTTGTCAAACAGAGGTGTGTGTGTGTTTCAGCTGCAGGATCGGACCCAGTTCAGTGATGGGGATCTCATCCAGCTGAAGCGCTATTGGGACCGAGGCATGACCAGCCTGGGCTCAGTCTGCAGGGAAAAGATCACTGCTGCAGCGAACCAACTCAATGTAGACACTGAAATAGTCAAGGTATCCACCTTTGCAAGGTTGAAAATGACTTAATTACTTAATTAACAGTGTTAAATGAAACATAGAAAAGAACTTGCTGCCTCCTGGCACGTGATCTCAGCAGTATCCTCGAAACTAGAGAGATGTTTTGTTGACTGAGAAACCTTTGAGTCTTATTCACGTGGTCTACCCACTGGTGTATGACATTTTAGTGAAAACAAGACTATTTGACTTGTCTGACCTTTTTGAGACAAAAGAAAACAGGAAAGAGCAACTTTTCTAGGTCACAGAAGTTTTCTAACACACTTGCACAAAGTTGTGTAAAAGTCATGCAGATATATCAGGGCCACAGTAGGAATGCTGATGAACTAAATATAGTCTCTCAGTCCTGACACACACACATGACCCACTGCCAACTCACGTACTAGAATATTTATCACAAGAAAAATCTCTGCCTGCATGGATATACAGTACAGTGTACCACTGTGAGGATTATCTTCAAAGCCACTTAAGCAACTGCTTACTGCCTATTTAGATCAGGTTTACAGCAGTAAATTTACTGTATAACAGGTACTCATTGTTGATATGGAAATAAGAGACTAATTTTCGAGTTATCTTCCTGGACCACCTTCACCTTCATCACATTCATTTATGGAAATCAATGACATTTAGAGTACTTCAGTCCATGACTGACACCCATTTTGTCCTTTTTGTGTTTTCTAATTTGCAGACATGGATCAGTAACAGACGGAGGAAGTATCGTCTCATGGGTATTGAAATTCCGCCACCTAAAGGTGGCCCTGCTGTATTTACAACCTCATCCCCAGGTAACGAATCTCCACTGGCCC